GTAGTCGGGAAGGGGAACAAGGGGCTGAAGAGTCAGCAGGCTTGGAGGTGGTTAGTTGGGAGGTAGCTGGTGGGGAAGACCAGTCTGTAGCATTTGTTACGATCTTGTTGGTTCCGCACGCTTTTCTGTCTCTGTCTTGTCTTGTTACCATTTTACAGTTCTGTTTTAAACCAGCCATGGAGGACAGCAGGTGACATCTTCTGTGTGTGTTGTTAGGCTTGCTGCTGGCACTCACAGAGGGCCAAATTTTGTAACGTGTGTTGAAGAGAATGATATTGCACAAGCTGGATGGGGAGAAATCTTGGATCGTCAAGTTCTGATGACAAATAACAAGAACTACTACTCTGTTTTTAAGTTCCAAGCAGAATTACAAAGCTCGCAAATAGGAGCATATTTATTCCTGCCTCCCCCCTTTTTTTTTAATGAGGAAATTAAGTCATTAATACACAAGGCATTTGTTTAGTAGCTTCACAAGGGATCAGGACAAGTAAAATTACATAGTAAATGAGCACAGAATGTATTTTGGGGTTTGTGTAGCCTGTTTGAATGAAAAGCTTGAAGTTGTGGTTAACAGTCTTGGACACATGTGTTAGTGTCCGTGGTTTTTTACTTGGAAAATTGAATGGATTCAGAGTGGTATGGTGTGTCAATTGACTGAGCTTAAATGCAAACTTCATTTGGATTTCGGTCGAAATGAAAGTAAAATTGAGTGGAAGTTAACCGCTGTTCTCTCTTTTTCCAGTCAGAGCGGTAGTGTCAGAACAGCCAGAAGAAAAGCTATCCATTTTCTAGCTTTTCTTCATTTTTTTGTAACATATTCCTAGACTAATTGTTTTTTTCCTCTTAACTGTACACCATAAAGTATTACTTAGAAACTGCTAAATGCTACAATGCTGACATGTGATGTGGACTGTTGCACAGACAAAAGGCAAAAGGACTCAAGCAAATTACGAAGCTTTACGTATGGTTTCAATGGAAGATGAGTATTTTAGTGATCCGATGAAAGCTCATCTGTTGGCATTCAAAGCTAACAGGGCAAAGATCAGATATGCTAATACATACAGACTGGGGTCACAGAAGAAGTTTCGTGATTATTTAGTCAGAGACAAAGCTGAAGCGATACTGATGGTATAGTGTTTTTTAAAATGAATTGTCTAATTTTATTGCAAAAGTAGTTTGTCTTGCAAAGATGATATTCATGGAACAGTGTAAGTTGCTTAAATTTAAATAAATGCATAAATCTTTGCAAACTTCATGTTTTCGTGCACAAACATTACATGAATGTGCTCTGTTTTGCAAGGTACAAACAGCATCTGCAAGGTAGCCACTAAGCATGTGTTGTTTAAGATGGAGCTGAAGCGTCTTAAACTCTTACCCCTTTCTAAATCAAAATGAGCTGCAGCACAGTTTGAAGTACCCTAATCTGAAAAATATCCAGTTATCTAAAGATCCAGACCTTGAATTTGTAGAATTCTACTCCTTCAATTAGTTCTACTAATACCACATGTCCTGCATAAAATATACTCGGTGTCTTTGGCAGTCTGACTGCCACGTAAGAAAATGAAGCAAAAATGAAGGCAAACAATCTGTTGAGACCATAGTGGTCTCTGCTAGTGATACCTTGAATCGCTACAAACAGTTCTCGTAATTCTGCTCTCTGGAAGACGTGCCTTGGATGTTTGGAACAGGTATCTGTAGCACTATTTTCCAGTGAACTGAGCCCAAATGATGGAGAAGAATACACTCCTGTTTGTGAAATGGAGATTGGGGGGACGTGTTTGTCACTTTCAAAAAACAGATGAAACATTTTAAAGTAAAAATAGCGCAGCCTTTGCTCTTTGAGAGCATCATCTGTATCGACTGTTCTACTCTGATGTTCTTGTAATGGAAATGACTGTAAAAGTTGTTCTTTTGCAAAAGACTACCAGGATGAAAACTAAGATCTTTCAAAATTGTTTTTGATAGGATAAACTTCAACAAGCCAAATACAATGGAGTTGCTAGTCCGTCCTTGTGGGCTTCAGTCTCGGAAGAAATATTAAAGGCTGTGGAGTAATTGGACTTTGACTGTTATAAGTACGTGGTGTCAGTACTACTTGTGGAAAAGACAGGTCAGGCGATGAATGTGAGCAACCAAATTCTTCATAATAACTTTTTCAAATTGAAAATAATTTTTAGAACTGTATGTTATCTCCTAGCTGTTCATCCGCCTTCAGCAGCCTAACTGGTCTGAGGTGGTCTGGAAGCCGTTGTGTTCTTTGTGGGGAGTAGTATGCCAGGTGACAGTTTAAGGTGCTGCTGTGATTCTGCCTAACCCTGTGAAGGTTGTGTTTCTGCGTTCAGGAACTGCCAGCCAGTTATTTCTGCTGTGTGCCGTGCCGGTACAATTGCAGGACTGCAGTGAATTTTCTTTTTCCAATGTACTTTGGTCTCCAGTTGGGTCGTCGGATTCACGGCAAAATGCTATGCGGTGGTAGCACGCATGGAAAGGGACGGGTGGCACGGAAAGGGATGGAAACTGTGTCAACTGCCACCAAACATGCTCCTCAGACTGCAGATTAACATTAGGGGTCTGAACTTGGCACACCAGAAAGAAAAGTATTCTAGACTTTCCTGTGTCGTGTGTAAATTTACGTGTGTTGCAAGCTCCCAGTGGCATTCAGCACGCTTTTAGGTATCTTGCCGAGTGTCAGACAGCACTTCTGCTCAGGAGCGTTCATCGTCAGCTCTTAAAACCTGATGGAACCATACCTGGTTTTGGTGGGTTACGTGAAACAACGTTTGAGGGGGTGCCAGCTGCAGTGATGAAGCTGGTCTGTGAGGGGCCTGCGTCTAGCTGCTTTGCCTCCCGAGCTGTGCCTTGACCGAGGAGCTGTAGGTGAAAAGGGGTTACTGAAAGGCTCCAGGTTAACTTTTTTTCTCCTCAGGAGCATGTTTGTTCCAGCAGTTGGTTCACACATTTCATCTTTGAAACAAGTTTTATCAAAAAAAGCTGAGAGCCCAGTAAGCAGTCGCAAGTAGACTGGAGTCAGCTGGAGGTGGAGGAGTCGGGGACGGGACTTCCGAGTTGTGTGTGTTCCCCAGACTGATGTCTGTTCACATCGCTTTTGGAGTCACAGAATCACTATGGTTGGAAAAGATCTCAAAGATCATGAAGTCCAACTGTCATGCCAACCCCACCATGCCTGCTAAACCCTGTCCCCAAGTGCCACATCCACATGGTTTTTGAACCCCTCCAGGGATGGGGACTCCCCCACTGCCCTGGACAGCCTGTTCCAATGCCTGAGCACTGTTTTAGTAAAGAATTTTTTCCTGATATCCAATTTGAACCTCCCCTGACGCAGCCTGAGGCCGTGAGGGGTGCCGCTCCAGCACGCTGAGGTGTTAACAGGTGAACCCGAGGGAGAACGGAGTTTTTCGTGTGGAGATCTTTGGATCTGTCGGGGCGGGAGCTTCACTGTGAAGCAAGAAGCTGTATTTTAGCATCGCATAGGACTGAATTCTCAGTGTAATTTTGCAGTTGTTATTGCTGCTTGTTAACTCTCATGGGGCATTGTATCAGTATCTATGTCACGCTCTGCGTTCTTTTAAAAAATATAAAAGCTGTGCCGCATGTAGACTGACAAACTGCCTCTTCTTTGCGTTAGGTTGCCAGCAGATGGGTCTGGGACGCTCCGCGAGACACCTGGGTCTCAGCTAAACGAGAAACCAAAACCTTCATCGCGCCGGCTTTGGTCACGGCTTCTTGTTACGAGTGACGCTCCGAAAGCCGCGCCTCGCGCTGCCGGCTGCCTTGGAAAACCTGCAGAACGTCATGTCGGGACCAGCTTTTGTCCCACTGCTGTCGGCACAAATACAGTCGCGATAATTTTCCGCATTTTTTTTTTTTTTAATCCCCTATTATACCTAAGCTTTTGAGTCGTGTTTGGGTACGCCGTACGTGACCAACCCCCGGTGGTGGCGGTGCGGGGTGC